TCGGGCTTTTTTTAGATAGTCATTTTGGTGTTATCTTCTCTGTCTTAGACCATCAAGGGTTCCCAGACTATGCCTGCGCAACATTAGCCTAGGGTGCTAGGTTCTGTTTTCTCTTGCAAACCTTCAAGTTAGTATTGTACTGAGCCATTCTCTACTAGTTTTGCATTTTGAAATGCATCCATGAGCACAGTAAAACCAAAATTACTGTTTTCCTGCTTTAAGTGAAGTTTTAACTCTCAGTCAGGTACACTTGATACCAACAGAAAAGGCATTTAAAAAAAAAAAAATCAACACGAACAAACACTTTTAGGTTACTTTCGTCTCCGCTTTTCAGAGATATGTCTAGGTTTAGCCTGGGGTGTACAAAAGTAAAGGACAGGTTCACTGCACTATTTGCAAAGCTACTTGGAGCCCCCTGACAAAATTGATGTTTGGGTTCTGTATCTGTTTCTAACCTTATCCAAATATAATTCCTTGAGGGGAAAAAAAAAAAAAAAGTGTTTTACAGTTGCTTGTCTTAGCCACTATGAAAACCACACAGAAGTACCTTGGCACACAGTGAAAGCTTGGCAACACTGCTGCAACACACGTTTTCCTCTACTCCTAGAGGAACACCTACTATTGCTAGTAGGTGTTTTGGGGTTGTTTTTTTTTTTAAAACACAGGTTCTAGAAACACCACCTTTATTGTTTCAGTGACACTTGAGCATAAATGGAAGGAACATATCTAGTGGCAAGAGGAACTTGCTCATGCTAACTTTTCATGCATTACCAATATGGGCAGGATGATTGCTAAGGTTCCAGCCACACACAAAAAGCACTTAACCTTTATCCATCTCCTTAACAAAGATATCTTAGGTAATCATTTGCATTTTATTTCTCTGTTTCAGCAAGCCCTGACATTAATTGGCACACGATATTTCTTCTCATCATGTATCAAAGTATAATATGCTCAAAAACTTAAAATAGCTACCTGACAATTCCGCTACAAGCCTAGCAAGTCTTTTAAAATAAGGGGTTTGGGGTTTTTTTGGTTTTGTTTTGTTTTTTTTTTAACAACCTTCCCCTCCCCCCCCCGCCTCCCAGCATGTGCTAGACTTGTATGAATGCAGTACTTACAAGGGGGGTTAAACAAACAAAAAAAAAACCACAAAACATCAAAGTGAGGATGATAAAGTCTCTTATCACTGTCCCTCTTTGGCCATGCTGCTGAAATCGTCAAAGACAGCAATAATTATGGTGGCTATTTTCATAATATGCACACCCCTCCAGAAAATGGACTCTGAATAGAAACTTCAGGTAAGCCAGTGAAAAATTAAGTGAAAACAACCAACCTGCTGTTACCATGCAATAAAACCAATTCAATAAGGAAAGAGCAAACCACTACCACTCCAAATCAAATCCTGAACTAGAAATTTACTTTTGATACAGTGAAACCAGGAGGCGGCTGCAAAAGGAACTGTCATCAGCAGCCTAAAGTAATAGGGTCTCCTGTAATTTTAAAGCAAAGGAGTCCTGGTGTTTTGCAGGAATTTGAAAATCCCAAGAACTGCTCATCATGTCTAACCTCAAAGGTGGGGTGGCAGAGAAGAGACAGAATTGATTTTGATGCAGTGTTTGTGTAGGTGGTAGCACATACCTGGCTACTGGAAGACAGTATTTCCAGAGTAATTCGTATCTACCGGCATGACGGCCTGGAAAACATGACTAGCTCTATGGAATTTCTCCCCCACACACCTTTTAAAGCTGAACCCTTAAGTTTAGGGCGGGGGGGAAGCATGTTTGAAGCTAGATTCAAAAGGATATTCAAAGTAGCGAAGCCTCATTTAAACTTTAAAAAGTACATCTGTACAGCACTGTGTTTCCACACCTAGAAACAGACTTTCAGTTAAATCCCACAAGACCTTAGTACTCAGCAGTTTTGCATGACTGGCCCTCAAATACAATTTAATTCCCTTAACTAAATGCAAAAAAAAACAGAAAGAAGCAAAACGTACATTGAGCGCTTATAAAAAAATTGTTTTATCAACAGCACAAGTCCTAATGCATATGGATTTTGAGATATTTGTTAGTGAGGACTGTTCGGCTGTTCAGAGTGTCAGAAAAACTCTTCCAACCCCATTAAGCTAATGCCAAGCATATTCATCAGGAATCACAATGGAAAAACTGTCAGCTTTCTTACTGAAGAAAACCAAGACCTATTTACAGAAGCATTCTGCACAAATAAAGGGTTTTTAAATGTTTTATTTGTCCATTTGGAATGATTAGTACTTATAATCAACAACATAAATCCACCGCTCAGTGAAAGACCTGACAGCTTGTTATTGCCAAACATATTACAGTCTGCTGAAGGGTGAAGAATTACAGACATATAGAGATGAATAACATTGTATCACCATTAAATCACTTATTCTGTTCATAACAGTTTAATCCTCTAACATTATAAATTAAGATTAGAAAAAAAAAAAAAGCAACACTTCCAGTGATAAAATACATTGTGTTTAATACACAACATAACAGTACAGTTTATTACATTAGTGCAATAAAAGGTAAAATAACTGGACAGCTCCTTTGGAATAACTGCATCATTGCTGATCTCTCTCTTACACAAACACTGTTTGCAGCCACACAAGCTACCAGGAAGTCTCCAAGAAGTATCCTACTAGGAAAATCCATCACAGCTAAAATAAGTTTATTCTGAGAACTACTTCTCCTATACTCATATTACTTGAATATGAGGACCTAAAATTAGATTCCTTCACATCTGGAATCACCAGTGACATCCCTTCTGAAATCAAGCAAGTAATCAACAGATTTGCATCCATACTTCAACCATCAAGCGAAACTCAAGTGGGAAAATGGCTTTCATTTTTCACCCAGTTAAGTAAATAGTTAGTTAATATTTGGAAGCCTTCTATGAGAGTTTTAAAGTTTAGTGGTTTGGACCATTTTTCAAGGTTACTGGCATATATGAAAGTTGCATGTATGAATGATTCATAACCAATGAATAGCAGTATCAGTATGATAGCTAAAAGATAAAATGTTTTTACTTATTAGAGATGGAATTCTGAGATCTCCTCTCCAAAAGCTCATTTGGAAGATAACCTTTACAAAAATTTTCCAGTAATGATTTGTATTACATTAACTCTATATTAGATGACAACTTCGAAGACTGAAGTTAACACTGGACTCAGCCTTCAAAATTAAGTGGATCAGAATAATAATCTGTATAAATCGAAGTATACTGCAAATCTGTTTCTCAGGATAAGATGTTGCCTGCTGCAGATAGCCTCATACAGCTATTAGTGCCCTATCAAGTCTGTGGAACTACTTGCTTGTCAATTAAATAGGATGTGAATGTGAAAAGTAGACGGACACAGGAGGCATGTTTCGTTATGGCAATAGACATCGTCTTCATTCAAATGGACCAACAGCAAACAAGAAAAATTCAGAAGCCAACTGAATTTGGAATGTGTGTAATGAAAATCCCATTCAGTACCTCGTTATATTCTCAATGAATTTTCCTTTTGTAGCAGAGTAACTTGGAAAAATAACAATGAAGCAACAGCAAAACAAAATCCCTCCTCTACCAAGGATCTGAAATTCTCTCTGAACTGTACTACGTGATGCCTAGGAAAAGTTTAAAACCAGACACTATTGTGTCAATACCACTGGCTGGCACACTAAGCAATTCTGTCTGCATCCACCTGCTGTCACTTACCGTATGAATAGATTGCAAGCTCTTAAGGGCAAAGACTATTTATTTTTTTATTTTCTTTTATACCAGGATGTGATAGTATCCATATCTCCTCTGTGCTACAGTAATATAATAAGCTAAATAACATTGTTATGCTTTATTTTCTGCTCCAAGCTTTAGATCCATCAAAAGCGAGAGACGGTTGCCCAAGTTTCTAGGAACAAAAGGCCAGTTTTTCCACGTGACCTGACACGACAGTAAGCACTCTGCTTGCCAGCATCCATGATGCAAAGTTTTTATTCTTTGCACCATGAAAAAAAAAAAAAACCAAAAAAAACCACCACAAGGCTATAATTAATGAACTGCAAGTTATGGTATCTTTCATCCATTTCAACCCTTTCACTGGAAAGAGGAGGTAGTTTAGAAGTAAGGCACATCCTGCACTGCCTGATCAGCCATAAGGCACATTGCCATTCCACTGAAAACATCTATTTTAAGGCTGGCAATGCAAGTTGGAAAAAGTAATCAGGAAGAAGTCATCAAATGCATTTGGAGTAATGTCTAGCCTCAGACTGTAGCAGAAAAACAGACAAAACATTTTTTTTTTTTTTTTTTTTT